GTAATCATTTTAGGAGTTTAGATGAAATTCATCCAACAAGAAGATCACGCTCTCCAACTAGACACCACGATGCCTCCCGAAGTCCAATTGATCACAGATCCAGAGATGTGGACAGTCAGTATTTATCAGAACAAGACAGGTACTTATCCAAGTTATGATCTCAACATTATTATTTTTTCTGTTCATTCTGTTTTAATGTATACAGATATTATGGCATAATACATTAGAGAGAAAAAGTATCTCATCACTCAACACTGAATTCTCAAGGAATAACTGGTAAAATGCTCTAGTAGAAATGTAAACTGTAGGACGTATTTGACTAATATTATATTGTTTGAAGTATTTTTTTACAAAATCACAATTTAGCTGATTTTAAAGGTATAGCTTATTGTTTACTTAAATACTGTTCTAAACTAGGGAAGGGAATCGGTCTGAGCAACTATCAAATATTTTGTCTTTTCTGGGTCACGGTGTTTGGGATGTTATTTAGGTAATTATAAAAGTTATGTTCTGTATTTAATTTAAAACATTTTGGATACTGGTCATCTGGAAGACAGCATTTGCTGAGTTCTATGAGAACTTCAATAATAATATTTCTGTTATATACCTATTTTTTCGTAAAACTTCTCTCCATGAAATATTCATGAAATGTAAAATATTGAGATGAATTCTTTTTTATATGTATATGCACTTTAGTTCTATATTTGCTTATGAAAAATATATTACAGAATAATTACTATCGATCTATATTCTGAATATATTCTGCATGCCCACAGACGTTCTTCTCAGCACAATCAGATACCCCTACAACTAGCCTAACCCTGTGCTCAGTATCGGATTTAAGGTTTTTTGATACCTTCCTGGTTGAATATTCTCTTCTGGCTTTTGAAGTGGAGAAAATTTGGGGACAAGGAGGGAGGTGGTAGCAGTGCTCAATGATTTTTCTCTGTGGAGTCGAGGACATAGAACCCAACTAGCTCTTCTTGCCTAGATAATTGTCATTTTTCTGTGGAAAGTAAGGCCATGACCTCCAAGAGTGGAATCATAATGGGTACCAGGACAGAGAACGGCTCTGAGGAAGAGGATTCCAAATGGCTCAGCTTCTGTTTCATTGAGTGAGGGCCACTTTGTCAACATTCATTGAGCCACCATGAATTTAGCTGAGATGGGAAAACAGAAGGTTTCTTCACTAGGGCAATCAATATAGTGAAATTAATTTGGATATAGCAAATGTTTCGGTTTTAAAATAAATTATTCTGATCAAGTCTATTCTTAGTCAGTTAATAGGGATTATAATATGGTATTGGATTTTTCAGTGGCTAGAAAAGCCTAGAAAGTTATCACATGTTAAATTACTAAAAAGAAATTTAAAACTTTTAGGGTCCCCATTAGTCTCAGAATGGCCAAATTTATAGTGTATTTTCAAATACTCAAATGTCTGTAATTGGAGATAGATTTCTGTATCTTATTTGGGAAAGGTTTATTTTTCTTTTGTTTTAATACTCTATGAAATCATTTTGAAATACAACAGCAAACCAGCTACAGCGAGGACTGCTACCACAATGTTTGTATCTTATTGTTTAAAATTTTTAAATGCTGTCATGTTTATTTTTGTTTAACCTCTCAAGCAAATATGCTAGTGCAGACAATCTGGTTTCTTCCCTTGTCATGTTTCCATTGGCATACCATTGGCATAATCCATGTGTCATGATTTATCTGTTTCACTCACCACCCATCCTGTCTGTGCAGTGAGCTTCTTATGCTGCCCAGAGCAAAACGAGGACGGAGTGCAGAATGCCTACACACTACCAGGTAAATACAGGGATTTGGTGATGGTGACTTGTGTGTGATGACTCTCTTTCCATTCTGCTATTCTTCCGTCTCTCCCTGAGTGGTGTTACTACAGATAGGTAAAATAAATTCCCCCAATATTCAAAATTGGTTTTGTTCAGACGGAGGTTATGGAAAAGGTTCCGAATACATTTTAGTCCCCATCCAGGCAGACTCCTCTGCCATCTGTACCTTCAAAACCCAGAACCTGAAGGGTCTCTGTGGGACTGTTTCCATAGTCCTAAAAGTAAGCAACCAGGTTTTGCACTTAAAATTCTAAATGCTCGCGGTGAGCACACAAAACCTTGTAACCTCCTGTCTAGTCACATTCCTGTCTAGTCACTAGAGGTCTTATCTTCTGTGTTTGCTGCTGTTATTGTTTTCTTGACTGTAATTTTGATGTTTTAGTCTTTTTGGTCTTTTTGATTTCTTTTTGGGATCTGCTATTGTTTACGTTCTGTTCCTTCTTAATAACATCTTAGCAGTTTATCCTGAATGACTTGAGCTTCAGCTTCCTTCTTTATAAAGACTGAGGAGGAGGTTGGACCCATTAGCTTCTTAACTGCCCCAACCCCACCAGTTCAGAAATACTGCAGTACAAACTTCCTCATACAGACATGTAACAATATGATTGCTCTTTAGAAAATGAAGAGAACATATAAAATAAATAAATAAATAAAACCTATTGAATCTGTGAAAAAAAAAAAGAGAAAATATATATAATTTCCACTTTTGCACTGGAGCTTAGCACCGAGTACTTTATGTCAGTCTCATTACACCTTCAATTTTATATCCAAAGCAAAACTTCTTATAGATTATTCATAGTATATAATCTACAGATACTCATTTAAATTTGAAGTTAATATAAAAGGAAGTAGGAAGTGAAACCAACACAAATACAAAGTTTTACATAATATTTTCGGCAATGAAAAGGAAGAGGAAAGAGAAAGAAAAGAGGATAACTGCAATTCCTGGGGTGGAAGGACCAATGCCAGGATCGTGTCTGTGGCCCGTGGGGTTCTGCTCAGCAGTGCAAACACAGTTGGCTTAATAAGAAGGGTTTGAACTTTTTACATGTTTAAAACACTCTTACTGATAACTGTTGCCACATCTGCTCGGAGAACCACAGGAAAAAATGAGAAATTATTAGTTCTGCTTACCATCGGAAGAAAAAATATAAAATCACAAAAACTGCAAAAGTTAATTCAAATTATTTATAATGCTAAACTATCCATGCCTGTTATTAGCTATTTTTCCTGAGAAATCATTTATTAACAAGAATGGTTTGTTTACTGATTCTGGAAGTTCTCTAACAGTCCTGTTGATATCACTACAACTATTAAAAAAAAGAAGCAGCAGCAAACGACACACACAATCTTTATGTCTATTAAGGTACCTGGTGTGTGCCTGGCATCCAGTGTGGGACTGTTTCTGGGATTTGTTTGTGCACCAGCTATCTAAATATAATAACTGAAGTTATGTTTTCTTTCCCTGATTTTATTCTTGTAAAGGTGAAATATTAGGATACACAAAATATGATATACTCAGAGTTGCTTAATTTATAGTTTTACCCTTAAGATTAGTAATTCTGATTACTAATCATTCTAAGTCCATGTATTCTGTTTGTTTAATACAGTAGTTCTGTATTAAAGGGCCACGGCATTAGAAAGGTTGAGAACCACTGGTTTAATAGATGGAATCTGCATGTTGACTTTGAATTTCGTGATTTGGACAGACAATCATACTGATAGGTATATAAATTTAAAAACAGGTGAGAGTTCAGCTGAGGCTGGTCACACCACATTACTGATACTGGTACAATAAGATGGGAAGTAGAGTTAGCCAAGTGTGTGGATCCGAAACGTGTCACCAGGGCCTTCTTTCTCCTCCTCCTCCCTGATTTTTTTATACTATCAGTATAAAATGGTTTCACTTAACCAGTTCCTCAACAACTGCTAATTGTAATTTTTATTACAACTATGATTGTAATTTTTTTTCCCAAATTTTCAAAAACTTCCCTTGCTTTCATCCCCTAATATGTACCACCAAAATATGGAGGTAGAGAAAACGTGAGTTCAAACATAAGTGCATCCAAGTATATATAATCTCCTCTGTTTATGCTCATGTATTTAAAAAAGCCACTTTACTATATCTGAATAAAAAATATAAACATATGTACATATAAATCAGTGCTTTATATGGCTACATCAATAATGCATTTTGGTTTCATATAAAGTACAGAAACTTGTTATTAATATAGCTATCCGTGGCTGAAATGTAAAGCTTTAAAAATAGCATCTTATCATGTTCACATAGGACTTTTTTTTTCCACATAGAACTTTTAACAATAAAATCTGAGAATTTACTGTTCTACAGTAAACATAAGGAAAAGAATGTCTATTGACTACAAGCACAATGTTAAGTACTTAATGTTTTTTATTTCAACTTGCTGACAGTATACTATATAAATATTATCCTCACGTTACAAATGAGAAATAATGCTAAGAAAGTTTAATTTGATAAATAATACAACAGGGAATCAAAACCAGGTCTATTTGATTTTTTCCACTAAACTAGTTTTTCTAAAAATATGTTACGAAAATTGGTCATGTGAGATGTTCCACCAGTAAAAGAGTGAGTGGGTCACATAGATTCAGTTACACTGAACATTAAAGTCTCTCTCAGGAAATTTAAAATATACAGTGTATTAAAGTCATGTACCACATTGCACCCGAATTATTTGTCAAACCCTTTTGTTATAAAACATGTCCTGCAGAAGTGGTGGTGTACAGGAAATGAAGCTGCCTGTCCACATGCTAGCTACTTTATGCACGTGATCTCGTGTAATTCTCTGCACGTGATCTCGTATAACTCTCTGCACGTGATCTCCTATAATTCTCTGCATGTGATCTCGTGTAATTCTCTGCACATGATCTCATGTAATTCTCACAGATCCCCTGTTAAGTGATTCATGTTAAGGAACAGTCTAATGGACTTGATCTGAATTATCTAAGTCTCAGCCTGTAAGTGGCAAAACCAAGATGGGAACTTGAATTTTCTGATTATAAATTTCATGCTATTTTCCAATTTGTTTCCCGTTTTGTATTGATCCCCGTTAGAATATTCCTGAAAAAAATTACTTTTGAGGCAATTGTTTAGAAAAGTTATGTAGCAGCTTATGACTGAAGATGTTTGCCTAAGGTTAGGAATCAAAAGGAAGACACTATTGTCTGTGAAAACAGCCTGAATCCTTCATTCGGTAAAATGTGGCCTCCATTTGGGTTTGAAAATGGTCCTCTGGGACATTATTAAACTGAAGCTTTAAAGGCTTTGCTTTGAGCACTAGTATAAACATGACTAAACCAGTGTTCAGGATGCCTTTGGTAAATGTTTATTTTCTTCCATATTCACCCAACTTTAAGCTGAAGTGGACAATGGATTTTCATAACCAGCCATTAAATTTGTAGAACAATATTAAATTACCAAATTTTAACTGGACCTAGTTTTCTCTTCATGGTATAGAAAGTCCACAGAGGCCCTCATAGATTTTTAAAGCAATTCAGGGTAAAGCTGGATATTCCTTATGCATTTTCTGCCAATCCAAATTTATATTCTGGTTTGCATCTAATGCCCATCTCACTCAGGTTCCAGTGGTACATTTTACTTGTGGTCAGATTTCGATTCAGAAGCTGATAAACTTGGAATCACCTCTGTCTCTACTGCAGTCCAGTCCATTGGCCAGCTTTGTCCCGGAATGCTGGGCAACTCTTTGCTTGTTATCAGAGCATTAATTCTTTCAGTCACATTTTAACTCGCAAATTACAGAAATTGTGTGCTTTGCACCTTTAGTTATGAGTTGTTTACTTCTGTAGAACCTGACATAATCCTAAATCCAAGATTGAATAGTAAATTTTAATACTGGTTAATAATAATTCATAGTTTGCTAAGCAGATATTTTTCTAATGAACATAATTAAATTAGAATTTTGAGCATCTGTCTTAATTATGAAGTCAGGTGTCTAAGACTTCATGTTTTCATAATTGTAATCCTGCCTTCAAATAATTATTGTAGTTTTTCTAAGAAAAACAAAAAGATCCATCTACATAACTTTACAGGCCTCCTTCTTTCTTAATATCATGGTAAAATGTGCTTCATCCATGTTTTTCTGTCTCCTGCATGTCTGTGTGCCACATTTCAGACATCTTGTTAGGCTCTATAAAACCTTACCGCCCAGGATGCCTTTATTACACAACGGTTCTCACTGGAATCTTTACAGGTAAGAGCCATAACAGTGAGTCCCAGTTATAAACTAATCCCTAATCCCCTTGCCTATTAAAACCAGAAAATGTTCATTCTAACGAAGCATTAACATGTTATTTTGAAATTAATTATACAATAAGAAACACTAAATTAATGATGTCTAAAATTGTTTTAATTATAAATCTTATTAATTCTAGAATAATCCTCTAAATGACATCTACTAACTCAGATAACAACTTTTGCCTGTCGTCTTTGTCATTGACTTCTTGTTTCACATGTTGATTTTAATTATTACTTATTTCATTTCATTTTATTTTACTTTTGGATAACTTTAATTTGCGAAGCTCAATTCTGCCTGCTAATACTAAGACAAAATCAGTGACTAGACAGGACATTCCCCTTCATCACGAACGCTTTAACCCAAGAGTGTTGAGATTTACTGATGAAATACCGGTTAGGTAAGAACCTCTGGAAATGATACCTTTTGATTCCCTTGTCTAGTGTTGTGAACCAAAAGAGTTGAGTTGTAAAATTATTTCTCCTCTAATGTCCTTCATTTTGTTTTGGTGTAGCATCTGTTCTCGGTAATAAAGTTTCGGGTGTTTTGTTTTAGTGCTTCCTGTATCCAGTTTTGTTTGGTTTTGTTTTGTTTTCATAAGTAGGTGTGATTTAGTCCCATTTTTCAGTCTGAGATTCTTCTGAAAATTATGCGAAGTAATTTAAGCATAATCTTTGTTTAGTTTCATTTTCTAAACAAAATTTTGCGCTGTCATTCTGTCAACTCTCTCACACCCTTATGAACCGAATCCTCGTGATTCTACATTTTGTGTAAAAGGGACATTATTTTATGCTTTACTCTCTAACACGGTCTTCCTTTCTTTGTTTTCTTTGTCTTTCTCTTCTACCACTGGATGCAATGCACTGGCACTAGTGAACTGCAGCCCTCCCTTGACAGGGCTAGGAGTGCTAGTACCAACTGCTTGAGACCAGATACTAGTTTGCATTCACCAGAACGAGAAAGGTATAAAATAAAGACTTTCTTAATTTCTTATCATTTGTACTAGTGATTTTTTTTTCCCCAACCCCTTTGTTTGGTTTCACGAAGAGTCTCACGGGTTTATTCATTCACGTTCACTTTGCTGACGGTCTCCATCCCCCCTCCCTACTATACATGTGTGTGTAGAGATATGTGTCCGTGGAGAAGCCCGAGGGTGCACATACACATATTTCTACGAATGTTGTTGCAAATGATGTGATGTAATTTGTAACTGCTTCTGGCTGCTGCTTCTCCCCTTTTGTTGCTGTTCGGTCATTTTATTTGCATACGACTCAGGGAACCTTCAGTATGCTGATACTGGTTGAAGGTCTAGGAAGCTATCTGAAGTGAAGGATCACTTTCCTATTAGTACTACTGATTAATAGTATTTACAGGTTCAACACAAATTTCCCATAAACTCAAAACCAGAATCTATTTAAGTAGAATACTTCCCATGTGCATTGCCGATAGATTTTTAATCAAACTTGTCTTTGATTTAGAACCTTTTTACCTTAAATTATGTTTTGATGACAAAAATCGTATGTTCATGATAGATTTCCTGATGCCCTATAGAAATGAATACACATAGTATTTATATACCCACTTGGAATTTTGCTAAAATTTTTGATTGAGTAATAAATTATTATTTTATTTGAAATGTATTCAGTGATTATGTGTTACACTGTCTCCTAATTGTAAGCATTTCATTTATCCATTGTAATGGAACTTTCTATTCCAGTAACCGTAGGTATTAATAGTCTTGGTTATATTTGCTGTCTCTTTTAAGGTCATTCAGATGAAATTTGCATACTACCTTTTTATCAACCCGGAAGAAAAATGTTTATTTGAATTAATGTAACCCACTACTCCTTCTTTAGAGGCTGCTCAAAGCTTTTCTTTAATCATTTTTCTAGTCTGATTCTATTTATTTACTTATTTATTCTATTTATTTACTTTATTTATTTGTTTATTTACAAAGTATTCTGGAATTAATAGGTATAGACATACATACATAGCTAGACATACATAGCTTTTTTTTAGTGTCTTTGTAAGAACTCTAATTTTATATTCTTTTATGCTTGCAAAATTTATAATAGAAAAAATACAATTTAATTTATAGTAAGTATTTCTTCATGTTTATAATAGAAATTTTAGTGAAAAGACTAGAGACTCTTCTAAAATTATAATTGAAATTGTTTTATTATTCTCCTCATATGTTGCCTCCCCGAAAATAATTATAAGAGTAACGAGAAAAATATTATTCATTTCAAAATTATTATTATTTTCTCAATACTGAATGTAGCACCATCCTAATAATTTTAATATCATCCAAATTGGTGCTGATAGAACTATATTGCAAGCCACTGTATATTTTAGATTTTCTAATAGCCATGAAGTTAATTTTAATACTTTAGCCCAACATACACAAAGTACTATTATTTTAATATAACATTAATATGGAGACTATTAGGGAGCTATTTTGAATTCCCTTTTCCATAGAAAATCAATACACTCAATGTACTTTTTACTCACAGCATTTCCTAATTTGGACGTGGTACATCCCAGGGCTCAAAAGCTTCCTGTGACTTGCGTCTCCTCCATCAGGCGGCAGAGGTCTAGTGTATGGCGAATCCTATTTGGCATGTCTTCCATCGTGACACTGAAGCCACAGAGTTTGCAAACTTATGTGTTGGTCAATTTAATCTCTCAAATAATAGCCTGAAAACCAGTTAACCTGTAGAGAAGTGATCTTACAACAGTTCTTGCACAGGTTGTTGTGACGTCCAAGTGAATTCATTTACCTTTAAAAGAATAAGAAAAAAATATGATTGAAAACTTACATGCACTCTACATACTAACTAAAAAAGTTTTCATTACAAATCAAGGAGAAGGGGATTGGTATTATCAATGATCCTCAATTGATTGGAGTCACTTTGTTGCCAAAAAGAGCATAACTGATAAGTTTTCATCAGGTAAATTATAGAAGTTGTATATATTGATTTGGAGGATAGAGACTACAAAATACCATTTGTTTGCACACATCTTAGAAGCAGACTGTAACAATATGAAGAGTTGTGACTTTGTTCTCTTTGGAGAATGCATCTAAGGTCCAGAGGCAGGAGATGCAGGGAGGGGGAAGAGGGGGCCTTAGACGGTTTTCCAGGCTACTTAATAACTCGGATTGACCCTAAGTCTGATTATATTACTACCTAATGATCAGGGTAGATAAAATGTTAAGGAAAATGTTTCAAAACTTTAATTTTATATTCTTGAGATAATGACATTATTTCTATTTCTCTCTATAAAGGTTAACTGATTTGACGATTCTAACCCATTTTGATTAGACTTTATATGCTGCTGTAGCAACTTTATGCCATTTTCTGTTTTGTTTTTGGCCGGGACTGGGTTTGAACCCGCCACCTCCAGCATATGGGACCAGCACCCTACCCTTTTGAGCCACAGGCACCACACCCATTTTCTAAATTGTCCTCGCTGGCTTGTAAAACAAATTAAGTTTTATGTTAACACAAAGCGAAGTTGTCCACACAGACTCAGTAACAAACTTTACCCATGATTGAAAAGGTAAAGGAGCAGCATGCTTTTCCTGAGCGAATTAGAAACCATCACACCCACTTTCTTCTCTTCCTTAATAGATGGTCTGCCCAGGGTAACAGACAAGTTTTGAATGGGTACGTGTAAAAACACTATTTCACTTTAGGAGCCCCTCCATTTTATTTTCTGTTGATTATACAAATTAAAAAGAATGCTTATGGAGAGTACTGCAATCCAGTGAATTACCCCAATTCAGTTATGCCTTGTAAGTCAAGAGATTTTGGTTTTCTTTACAAGTCCTGATATCTCAGATAAAACCCATTTCCCCCTTGCTTCCTTGACTGGGGAGGAGTGAGATGCAGGCTTGCTACTAACCTTTCCTCTTGCCAGAGTTCAGAAAAAACAATTGCTTAAATGTTCAGATACCCTGACTTTCAGAGCCACTGGAGAACAGTTACTTTTCTTAAATATTTCATGTTCTGCCTTGGCCTTTCAAAACAATCATAGCCTTACTGACAGCTCATGAAAGGTGGTGCTGTACTTAACACTGCCTCCATTTTTGACCTCCCAGTAAAGTCTGCAATGTGTAGGAGTCATTCCCGAGACTCTGTGGCTTTGCTGAAGCTCTCCTGTGGGTTACACTGGCTCCCTCGTTCAGCAGTACCTTGCAACATTTCCACATTAGCCACCCTGTGAACTTGAATTTCTCCTCCTTTAAGTTCCTCTGTAGATTTATTTTCTTAAGTCTCTGTTATGATAGCCTCCACTTCAGGCCTCTCTTCCTCCTCTGTTCCATAAGGGTAATTCCATAGCTCCACTCTGTTTTGCTTTTTGGAACCACCCAACTGGTCTAGTCTTTTACATGATACTTCGGTCAAAGGCTCCCACACAAATACACGTGAAGACAATGTGTACTGTGACTGGCCAGTCCAGACCTTTCCTCCTGAGTATGAGGCCTAAACTTCTAAGTCATTATGGGACACAGAATGCAACAGTATCTAAGTCAACATCCTTATTCCCCCTCTCATCCCTTTCAGCAAAATGCTTCCTCTGCTCTTCCTCAATTTTCCTCCTGTTTTTTGCCTTTGGCCTGGAACCAGCCACATAACGTGGAAACACTGTTCCTCCTCTTCCTTTTTCAAATTCAGGAAGCTGAGAAATGCTGCCAGTTTCTCTGGATCACAGCCCTCACCTGGATTTGTTCCAGGGTCACATGGGCTCTCTTAATTTTCTCATAAGGTCTAATAAGCCCTTATTATTTTATATCTTAAGTTTTCTTTCATTAAAATTGTCTGAATTTCTGCTCAATATTCAAAAATATAAGTTACATCCCACGTCTTTTATAAAAACCTTTCTTATTTCTCTCCCACATCCTCCTACATGAACACACACACACACCCCCTTCCCATTCTTTTGCTGGTCAGAAAAAGACCCCCACAGTTTTATATAACTACTTGTCTGTTAAAATACACTATGTCTTACTTAGTACTGCAATGTGTTTGGTTTTTTTCCCACTACATCATCCACCTCTCGAGGACAGGGGTCATATTCTATTTGCCTTTTTCATCTCTAGTGACAGCATTTTTTACTTAGTAAATGCTCCATTTGAGGTTTGGGAGTCTTAAGACAAGGCCCTCGATTTAATAAGTCAGTAAATTCTATCAATTAAAAAAATATTGAACACAGTTGTGAGCTGGATGCAGGTACGAGAAAGATAAGAACACTAATTTATCACCGTGAAAACAGTGGCTAAGTTTGGGCTCTGTGGCTTTCGGTCTACAAGATTGGGAATAACTAATCCCAGAATCAGCCAAAGTCACTGACCACAGAGGCTTCCACTCTAGGGTTCGACCGCACATCTCACAGCTGCTCTTTGTTTTTGTGGTGTTTGCTATTTGCAGACAGCCTGATTTGGAGAGAGGAATTCAGAAAGGGACAAGACACTGGTGCCTGATCATTTAACACAAAGTCACCTCTCACATAAGCCACTCCTCCCTCCTTGGGGTGTGAGGAATTACTTAATGAATTTCCCTCCACGTGGAAACAGGAGACCCAAGACAAAGGAGATTTTGGCCTAAAAATCAACAGCTTTAAGTTGAATTGAAATAAACACCATAAATCTTATTTCAAAGTACAAGCATTGATATTAATTAAAATAAGTGAAAGATAGAATAAAACAATGTTGGGAAGAAGGATTTTAAGGACTAAAATGAATAATGAAATAGACAGTAGAAATACATACTCGTGTAGTTAGTTATCTCATTTGGTTTGGTTTCTAATGTTATTAATACCTTACAAATATTTTTGATTTGTGTTATTCATGGAATGAATGATTTACATTTCCATATAATTTCTTTCTTTAGGCAATTAACCTGCTTAGTCATTTTCTGCCAAGATATAAGCACCATTGAAAGATGTGTATATTTGCAGCGAGGAGTATTAACTGCACATATAGACAAGCACACGTTTGCTTTAAGCTTTATCAGTGCTGGGGGGAGGGGAATCTACAATGTAAGGACTACTTAATTGGTGACTCTTAATTCCTTAGTTCAGTTTATCATTACTTCTTATCTAGATTACTGCATAGCCTAGCATCTTAGCCATTTACTATCTCTTGTCTATTCATAAATATTTGCTATTTATTCTGTGCTATGCATAATGGATGCAGCTGTCAGAAAGCAGACACTGACTGTGCTTCCACCTGCAGGGAGTCTACCACCTCCTTATTCCCCACCCTCACCCCACCCCCACCCCTACTGTACGCTGCAGAATGACCTTTCTTCTTTTGTTCTGAGCACAGTGAAAGGAATGGTCTCCCAACAGATCCGATGCCCCTGATGATTTAAAGCACTAATAATTTCCTAAAATAATGAATAGAGCTTGTTGGTAGGCTGGTTTTCTTAGAAAGAGAAATCAAGAGAGGGCTGGTTTATTTCAACTTTCTGATGGAAATCTCCAACACAGCCGCCATATTAGCTTATATTTTAAACCCAGTAAAGGAAGGTGGAGTTGTGTGCATTTCTTAATAACCAGGGGAGAGGACAGGGATGAAGATTCTAATCGTGGTCCTTCTGAGTGATAGGAGAAAAAATAGAAAATTACTCACAAAATCATAAAATGTACTTGCATATTTAAAACTGAACAATTATGTGATATTAAAACTTATGAAATATCTATTCCTGGACAAAAACTTGGATACAAGTGAAGTGACCCTGCTCACATCACATCCAACATGTGAGAGAAAACACAGACAGATTTCTCATCTTGATCCTGCATATCAGCATATTCAGAAGGACTTTGAGTGTACAAAAACATACATGTATTAAGCCAAATATTTGTTCGGAATTTATCTTTTACTTGCTTCCATTCATAATTGCTTCTTTCTAAATGTATACCTTTATTGTTTGTTAAGAGCTTTCACTGCATGTTTCATAATTATAGCATTTTTCTTTACTTTCATGTTTAAATAAACACAAGGACTGGAATTTTGCCCTAGGAAGCAAGGTTACTCATAATCCTGTAGAGTTAATATTACTACTTCACAGAAAAAATATTAACTCTGTTTTGGGGTTTTCAAATAACACCACGAATTTTAACACACCTGAGTATAACTTAATGTAGAAGATACACTTTAGTCTTTTTTTTTTAATTTATTTTAGGATTATTTTCTTTTATCTACAACAAAAGCCAATAAAGTGAAAAGAAATATTTTAAAGCATTCAGTTCAGATTGCCCCACCATTTAAGGAATAAAATAATTAATTTAAAATTAATGCAGAGTATTTTGATTTTATGAAGATGTAACAAGTTAAGAGTTCGTGCCCAGCAGTCTTCTGACCCAGATCTGCTCTTGACTAACTTCCCTTGCTTCCCACCTTCTTCAAAGCCTAACATGAATCATGTCAAATTTCTCCATCTAGGACTGATCAAACAAAGTCTTCCAAAGGACTTTCAGAACTGAATATCTGCTGACTTCAGCTATCTTGGTCACCTGGCAACAGCCCTCTGTTGCATTGGTCCAGATGTTCTGATAAATCCACTAAAACAAGTTACGACGGCAAGATAGACGACTTTCTTTTTAGATGTTAAGACTAGTCTCCCATGGATAACGATTTAATATAAAACTGTATACCTAAACAGGTCTTTTAAGACCATCTAATTTTCCTCTCTTGCAAATGAGAAAGCCAATGCCTTTAGAAAAATTCCTGCTAATATCTTTATTCCTAATATGTGTATAAAAATTTCAGTATCTGGCCTGTTCAGTCCCTTATTGCCTCTTTCCAGCTTTCAATTGGATATTTGTAATGTGTGGTTATATACAGCCAGAAATTTGAAGATAGTTTAACAAAAGAATCCCTTTTTTAAACTTCCGTTTAACTGTTAATCACAAGAGGCATATTATTGTGAATGCTATCTTAAAAGCAACTGTTTAACTACGTGAGAGACACTCGTGCAGGTAAAGATGAGTGGAATTTTTGAAGTTAATGCCAATTGACCATTTCATTTACCTGTATTCTCTACTTCCATCGGTCAGTGCTTCTTCCTCACACTTTTTAAAGTTTAGTAATTACCCCTATGGTTTTTGATAAGAAAACTTAAGATTTCACAGGTCATTTTGCTATGAATTATTTCTTCATATCATTTCCACAGTGAAGAGCATTTTTATTTCTTCCACTTTACTGAGTTTCTACTTTATATTAAATTAGCATTCCCCATCTTTGCCACTTTACTCAGCAATTTTAAGGCCGGCTAACATATAATTAGATGCTATTTGATTCAGATAAGCTAGATTATCTTAAGAATACAGCTTGAAAAAATTAAAGTTACAATCATATAAGAATAACCAAATTATACTTGAAGGATTCCAAACAACTCCCTAAAGAAATTATTTCTCTATTCACTTGTGAAGTTAACATATTTTACTTTCTTAAAGTACTAAAACTCATTTTTCTAAGCCTTGTACAAGAATAAATTACGGAGCAAAGAATATACACTTGCCTTTTTGGGGTGCTTTTCCAGTCCTCTTGTTCCATGTATTCTTTTATTTTAGGAGTTACTAAATGTCCTGTTTTTTCCTGTCTTGTTCACTGGGCAAACAGAGGTAGATGGTCCCCCTCCCTAGATAGGAGACGACCTCCTAGTCCCAGGATTCAAATCCAGCATGCTTCTCCGGAAAACGACAGGTACTAGTGAAATCCTCCTCACAGACAAGTGGCTTGTAGAGGACCGTAGGCCACCAAGGGAAGGATAAGCAAGAGAAATGTTGGTGACACTGTGCCTCCTTTCAGGAGCAAGAGCCAGATGCTCTGTGGTTCCATCAGTCTATGCAGCCAGCTCTAATAAAGCACCTCAGAATACTTGCTGAATGCGGGGAGTGTGCAGATGGCACTGTTTAAACACAGGGGAGTCAGGATCCAGGGCAAGGATCTGTTTTAAAGAGCATTTTAGTGCTTTGAATTTCGAGAAACAAATTTAAACACATCTGCTTTTGTGCCTGAATAAATAAAAATTCTCAGGTGCTTTAGAGGACATTAAACTCAATGACAGAGCCTATGATTTGTGATATTGGCTGATGGTTTAGTTTAGTGGTCTTGTTGCTATGTAAATGTATCATTAATGAAGTTTAGGCTTTGAAATATGTTACAAAATGTGCGGTTCAAAGTAAAATTCCTGGTTCGTATATATATTTTGTGAGTATTATGTTATTAAACAAAATTTTGTCAGAGGCCAGGGTCAAGCCACAGGTAGGTTTTTACAAATAGCCTCAGTACTTTGAATCTACTTTACACTGACACATACACATCCGAAGTGCCAGAAGATGTGTTTTCCATTGCTGTATTATTCTCTGTTTCTGGTTAACCCAATTCGCCTATTTCTGGTGTCTGTTATATACATAGTCCTTATCTTTAAATAATTTTTCCCGACTGGTCTCGAAAGGTTTTTGGATGTTTGAGATGCTTCTCTTCTGGTGTAAGCAGGGGTCATGCTTACTAGCAGATATCAGATGTGGTATCTCAGAAATAGGGCAACCAGCCAGGAAAGCATCCGAACATACAGGTTATTTCCTTTTTCTAAGTGCCCAGGTACAGCATAATCATTGTACTCTTCATTAAGAGCGGTAGAATTTATTTTCTGTATCTGTAAACACGATGTCTTTAGGAGTTAGTAAACTTAGGAGTAGTCTTGGTAAAGACTACAAATGGATATTTTATGAACGGTTTGGGAATATTTTAGCATGTTTTAGTCTCTTCAGACATTCACCTCTTACTGTGGCTTATATTTACTTATTTGGAACTGAAAATAAATTCCTCTACAACTATCTAATTTCTATGATAGAGTTTCTGGGAATAGAAACATTAGTAAATCTCCAATCTAAAAATTTATTATAAAAGTAACATCTTTTCAAATAAGAATATTTTAAAATTGTAGAAATTAAATGAAAACTTACACCTTTATCACTCCTCATTCATTTGATACATACTTATTGCACCCCTACTGTTTATACTATTCTGATGGATAGAATCACAGCAGGGATTAAAAAAGGCAAAATATTGGTCATCGAGGAAATGAGAATTTTCTTTTAGAAAAGATAATTCTGGAAAGCCTTTGAATTTATTTCAAAACAAATAAAACTGTATTTTATCTTCTCTAATGACCAAGAATCGAACAATTTAATAGAGTCTTTATAACAAATATAAATGTGTTTGCACTCATAAAAATGAGAGAGAAATTTTTTTTTTATATTAAATTTTGATCTTTTTCATAGAGAGTTCAAACCCCAAAACTGTTGTCATCATTTCTCTGGAAAATAATTATTTGATTTTTACTAATAAGTATAAATATTTGTTTTAATGTACCTTAGCTGCCTTACTTCTTTTTTTTTTTTTTTTATTGAATGGTAACTGTGTACATTGATGCACTTTGGGGGTACAGTGTGGTGTTTTCACACACAATCCAAGACACTTCCATCAAACTGGTTAACATAGCCTTCATGTAACTTTCTTAGTTATTGTGTTAAAACATTCATATTCTGCTCATAGAAAGATTCACTTGTACCCTTGCAAGATGAACCACAGAAGTGAACCCTGGAATCCCTCTCCCTCCACCCTCTGCCCCCTCCCTGCCCCCCCCATATCCTTAGGTTGTTATTAGGTTATAGCTTTCATATAAAAAGGTTTAAATTAATTTCATAATAGGTGTGTGTGAGAGAAATTATTTATATCAATTAAATTCATAGTTAACCATGTCAGCCACTTGGCCGAACTTAATGTCCACTTGCATTTTACCTGTTATTAGCTTTATTTTCTCATTCAAGAGTTCCTACCAATTTCAAAGCAAAGTTAACATGGCATCAGATTCAGATATAATGAATATTCATAAGAATTTGAGTGTTAGCAACTTTTGTCTTTGTCATGAAAATATTCTAAAGTCAGTGACAGTTAATCCAGTTAACCGTTAGATATCTCATATCAGAGCCATGTTTGATTATTTTAAAAATGATACTATATAAATAATACAAAAAAAGTAAATTCTTTTCTCAGAGAGTTCTCTAGTATGTTTAAATGAGTTTAACATCAGTAAGTTCCCTTCCTGTTCCTCACAGCATAATTATGGGCACAGACATTCATGTGTGTGCTCAAACAGTAAGTTTTTAATGAACCATTTCTCCATAATGTAATTCTAATAAGCATTAAAATTTACTAAGCATTTTTGTTGTTATCTCATGTGCTACCATAAATTTATTTGGAATTAACATGGAGGAAGCTTGTTTCAAGATCTAGGAATGTTTTCTAGAAGTTGGAGTATATTTAAAATAATGATGAAGAAAAAATGTGTAAATTTAGAACCCCAGGACATGTTTCTTACTTTATAATTATCCTGAAAATTTCCTTATAGTTTTGTTTCTACAAATGGTAAGACTTTTAAAAATCATCATTCCAATAACACAGTATCTCATTACACGTGGCATTATTTTGTTGTATAAAAGTGATATTTATGGGGTAGCACCTGTGGCTCAAAGTAGTAGGGCGCCAGCCCCATATTCCAGAGGTGGTGGGTTCAAACCCAGCCCCGGCCAAAAACTGCAAAAAATAATAATAATAATTAATATTTATGAACCTGTATGCACATAATTCTATGAATCTTAAAACTTAGATCTCATTGTAGTTTGAAATTAACCAAAATTTGTGTGGAAATTTAAGGAAGAAAAAAACTTAATAGGCCCCTCAAGCATCTGAATTCTGATTGTTTACAGTTTAATCAATCATCCTTAAATATGAAAGGCTAGTATAAATTATTATTATATAATTAACTTTAAACTATTTTCAAGAAAATGCAGCATTCTAATTCATCACTGGCTTAAAGTTACCAATTCCAGTGTTCTGACTCAGAATGGTTTTGCAACAATGTCTATTATACTTTATGGGAGCAGTTTATTGTGGGGTTTTTTTTTTTTTTTTTTGGAGACAGGGTCTTAGTATGTCACCCTCAGTAGAGTGCCATGGCTTCATAACTCACAGCAACCTCAAACTCCTGTGCTTAAGTGATTTTCTTGCCTCAGCCTCCCAAGTAGCTGGGACTACAGATGCCTGCCACAACGCCTGGCTATTTCTTTCTTTTTTTGCTGTTGTCATTGTTGTTTAGCTGTCCCAGCCGGACCTGCCAGCCTCATAACCACTGTGCTACGGGAGCCAAGCCAAGCAGTTTATTGTTGAATGACAAAAATACTAAAAGTATTTGATAAATAACCCTTATCTTTCAGAATTTTAAATTATTCAAATAAATAAAGCATTCCACTATATATAACATTAATTCCTGAGGTACTCTGCTAATTCTCATTTCTTATGCAAACAACTAAATTTGTATACTCTCCCATGTTCCTTTTACTTGGTAGCAGATACTTGTGCATAAGAATTCTTAGCCAGCAGCAGCAAGTGCTTTTTCTTTTCATTTGCAGTAAATTAATCTTCTTTCTCCAGTAAAAATATTTCTGGGATAAGTAAATCCCATAACTCTTTCATTTCCAGAATTTATGGCAGTTGCCACATATTGTGTGGAGTTAGTATAGAACCACTGACAAATTCAGTACATTACTCAATATTTCTTTTTGCTTCATAGTATCCTTTATTATCATTGCTTTAAAAAAACAGTCCTTCATTCAAATGAATGAAATGTACCCCTATGCTAAAATGGGTAAATGTATATACTAAAATACATGAACTAATTATATGTAGTTACATACACACATAAATATATATATTCACACAGCAGCAGGTAAATAGATCTTAATCACATGAATACGTCTTTACTGCGTGTGGCCATTTATTATTTAGGTTTATTCTATTCCAATGTATTCTTTTTTCCTCCCCAAACTTAAGAGTAAATAGGATGACAGAGATTTGAATACCACGTTAATACAGCACAAACCATCTAAGTAGTCAGCTAGCATTTAGACAGATGTTACGATATCGGTGTATGAAAACACTATATGTAAAGCTTTGTTACGCTATCCCTAAAGCGGGACATATATTTTCATTTTGTTATAAAACAGTTATAAAGAATATTCTTGTTCTATTAACATACTAATTTTACCCTTTAATAAAAGTATAATATCTCTAGAGAAACTATATTTACCGGTATCTTCAGAGCGTTCCTCTAACTGAAATTAGTTACTGAAAAGTGAAGGACAGTACTACAGAAATAGAGCAGTTATTTCTTTTTTTCATCAGGACTTTTTATACAGCTTCACACTTAAATTATTAGAAAGAGTAATAATTAAAAGTGGAACTTTAAAAGAACTGAGGTTTGAGGTTTAATTTGGAACATCCCCAGTTTATTTCATTTATTTTCTTTTGAGACACAGTCTCACTATGTTGCCCTGGGTGGTGCCATGACATCCCAGCTCACAGCAACCTCAAACTCTTGGGCTTAAGCAATCCTCTTGCCTCAGCCTTCCAAGTAGCTGGGACTACGGGCATATGCCACTATGTCGGTCTAATTTTTCTACTTTTTTAAAGTAAAGACAGGGTCTCACTGTTACTCAGGCTGGTGAAAACCTCCTGAATTCAAGCAATTCTCCACCTGCCTCAGCTTCCCAGAGTTCTAGGATTACAGGTGTGAGCCACTGCATTCAACCCCCAGTGTTGCTTTAATTTAATAAAAAATAATTGTCATACCTTACACT